CTCTCCTGTCCTCACCTGCTGTGCAGGCCTGTGTCTCTTCACTGCTGGGTGGAGAGCCAGGACACAAACTCTCTTCAATCTCAGGAAAGATCAGGGACATGGCCTAGGACATGGCCCTCTTTCAGCATTTTCAGTGGCTGTAATTTATAATTAACACAGCAGCTGTGCTGTGGAACATTCATGGTTTCTAACAGTCCACATCTTAACGGATTAAGAAGAGAATGCACTGTCTGTCAATCTCATTTTTATAATGACTGTTAGAAGTGGAATTTCCAGGTTAAATATATATAAGATTAATTTGAGGATCTCAGATTTTTCACCTGAAACCTCAGCATAGAGTTAGAGCCTGGTAGAGGAAGACTGAGTCTGCTCAGATCTATGTGGAGATCTAAAGTCAGAGAGATGGTCCAGGCAGCGGTGTAGGACACCATGGCTTAAAACGGCCTGGTGCAGGCCTCCTCATCCATCAGTAAGTTCTCAGGAAAGCATCACACACTGTACGCTGCACAGGAGAGAGCTGGAATGGTTCCAGAGCTCTTCCCTACATGCCTGAGGCCCCCTCTCTCACTCAGGGGAGCTCTGTATGAGGTCAGTCTGTTACAGAGCCCAACTTGACTGAATGTTTTCCACCCAGGTGCAGATCTGAACTGCCACATATGGACTCACCATAGTTATGGAGCATGACAGGTGTTTACAGGGAGCAGGTCAGGAGATGGGGACACTGCAGGCAGGTCAGTGTATGAAGCCTTAAATAAGAGACCAGGCCCTCACCAGCCCCAGTTTCCTCCAGCATTAACCAAACCCTGCAAGAGTGTGCATTAAAAACTGTGTAACTGAAAGGAGTTACTCACAAAATTATATATTATAGAGATAGTTTGAAGATACAATGTAAATGGAAGCATTCATAAGTAAAATGAGATGTGACCCTTAATGGATATGTGGTGTCCATTGATGTCCCCAGCCACATGCATCAGAAGGAAACAGTCTGATGAACAGAGCAATAAGGAGCACAGGCAATGTGTAAAAATCACAGCTTCTTAATAACAACAACAAAGCTGGGATACAAAAAGTGCACTGGTGAATTTTATCCAGTATATAATAAAGAATAAATACTGATTTTTTTCAGTTCTTTGATGAAGTTGAAGAAAAACACACCACCAACTTCTTTTAAGTGACAAAGTTAAAGTTATCCTGAGAATGAAGCCAGACAATAATGTGTTAAAAATAATATAAATGAAAACACTCTGTTGGCTAATTTTCCTACCAAACATAAACAAAAGTGTTCAGCTAAATGTTTGCAATGTTATCTCACCAGCATATTCAAAATTAACCAACATGATCAACACTGGACTCAATCTCAGTGGTGCAAGAATGGTCCCTCTCTAACAAACTGTTTCCACTGGTTTTAACATGTTGTATCTTACTATATTTTACTATATGTGATAGTATAAAGAAAAATTTTATAGGCAAGGAGATAATATAGAAACCATTGTTCGTTTTCTGTTAACTGGTTCTAAATACCCTGTAATTCTTTCATTCTGTTGAATGGCTTCACACTGTCTTGATATGTTTGATGCTATCATATACCAAGTTATACTCAAATAATTCAAGGAATGAGGCACTATGGTGACTACTATTATGTTAGATTATCTGGGAGTGAAACACAATTATGCTTAAATTGTTCCATTCTGACCAGTGTTGTTCTATTACAATATCCTCTTTTATCTCAATCTCCACCCTTTTTTTAAATTAAACTTTTTTATTTTTTTCAATTAAGGGAAAACTAAATTTAAAAATAGCGGGATATATTATAGTAACTATTAGTTTTCCTATTAACCTGATTTGAACCCCAGTATTGCTCTCCACATCTTGTTCTGTCTGATTTTACTATATTCTATTTTGTTTGATAATATCAAGTTTGAGCGTATAGACAACCACTTTGAAGGCCATAAGATTTATTATGATAGCCCATTATAGTTTGACTATTATCTTCTTTTGAAGTCTTGCAAGGTTTCCAGTGTAGAGTTTTTTGGTCTTGTTCTGTACGGTTTTGATCAATTCTATTTACCTGATGATATAGCAACTCTTTTTAAAAATAGCAAGAGGCACCATGGTAACCATTTTTGATCATATTTTTGCATCATGTACTATGCCCATCCTTCTTTTCTAACTGTCTCTGTTTTATTTAGTCATGTTAGGATTTATTCTCTTCAAAAAAATGTAATAAGAACTGTGGGAGTAAAAAAACTCAAAACGTGTAAATGTTATTGTAAAAAAGAGAGGAAAGGAAGGTGGTCTAAGGGATATAACTGCATGCTTGAGTGTGTAGGATGGAAAATCATATTACTGAGCTTTTGTTGGATCACTGAACAGAACCTTCTGCAATCTCACTGTATGAATGTCCACTTTATATGCTTTAATTTTATAATTTGGACAACTGTTTCTAAGATGACTGAAAGGGTTTTGGCCCAGATAGGACATTGTAGCCAGGAAAGCCACAACCGGAAGCAGGAAGCCCCATCTCCCCTGGCCCTAGGAAGTTACCTGTGATGCCATCTTCCCACCCATGGAAGTTTACATAGGGCGCCAAATCTAAGACCAATGGACTACCTGTGTATCCCTAATGCCCGCCTTAGGTTCCACCCCAAACCAAGCCTATTTACAGGCCCCCATGCCACGTGTCCGCCGGAGAGATCACTGGACGCCAGCGGTGGGGGTGCCTGTCATCTCTCTCTGTGTTCTCAGAATAAAGGCCACTTTTTATTTTATATTTCTCATCTTTTGTTAATATTTTTCATCTTTTGGAAATAACCCTAGCAATGACAATATGTAACCTATTAACTAGTGATTACTTACTGTATTTTTTCTTGAAATTCTGTATTACTTGTACCCTTTTACTGCTTTGTTTTTTATTTCCTTTCTTCTCTTTAATTAAACAAATAATCAAACCTGGAATGGATATCTTTTATTTATTTATTTATTTATTTGACTCTGGAGATCAAACTCATGACCTCATACTTGCCAGGCAGGTGCCTTAAGCCACTGAGCTAAATCCCCAGCCCACCAATGGATATCTTTTACACCTTGACATCTTCAGAGTAGTTGCCTCTGCTCTTGAACTTGATACCAGCAAGCATATCAAATGTGAATAAAATCAGTCAAGGCCAAATAACATTGAAACAATCCAGCTTCAAAGAAGATCAGTCATAGAAGACAATGTAAGTAATATAGGGATTCAGTTTTAGTTAATAGGAAATTAAGGATAATTACCATGGTATAACCTGATATTTTTGGGTTATCTCTCTGTGCCCTCAAATCTAATATGAGTAGACAGAACAGAACAAAATATAACCAAACTATACAGAGCAACAAGACTACTGTAGCTTTTAAATCCTGATACAATTTTAACTATGTCCTCTGCCTTCTTTTTTTAGGCAATTCCTCACCTTTCTCCTTCTCAGGATACTATTATTCACTGTTCAGAGTGATATTAGTCTAGTCTCTTATGTTCCATTTCAGCATACATAAAGATAAAGACAGCTACTACAAAGACCATGACAGACATTATGGTAGTCATTATCGACTTCCCCCAAATCAGTCTTGAAGATCAAAAAAGATTGCATCATCCTGTAATTATTTGATTAGTTCTATAGTATTCAGTATATATTCAATGTGTGTGAGGATGGGAACAACTATTTGGAAAAAAACTAGAGACAGTAAAATAGACAGTGAACATTTCCAGTGGACTTACTTTGAAATCTGTGTTTCCTTAACTTGTTTCCTTATGAACTGTTTTGCTCTGTTTTGCTATGTTTAATCTTACCCACTTTAAGAAAAAAAGTGTGTAGGACAGATAGGCATATTAGTAACTTTTTGGTGGATCATTGAGGTGAACCATGACAGTGTCATTATTTGAATATCACTTTGTATGCTTTAAATTTGTAACTTGAACAACTACTTCTAAGATGACAATATAATACTAATCAACTAGTGATTTCTTATTGTTTATTTTTCTGAAATTCTGTATTATTTCTACACTTTTTTTTCTCTTTAAATAAACAACATTACAATTCAGAAAATACAAAATTTAACTTCTAAAGACAAAATATTAAGTATGGAGGCACTATCCATACTTGAAAGTGAAAAGCCCATTTCAGTTTAGCATGTTTAATTACAAGATGTCATGTTGAAGCTCAAAAACATCTAGATTAATAAATCTAGAGAGGTACAAGTGATTAACTGAAAACCATACAACATGTGCACCAAAGGAGAGCCCCACCACAGATTTGTCATTTCTGGAATATTTGTGAAGAAATATTGACATCTAACTTCTGTATCGATTATTTCTTCAGGTCTCCTTGGGATTTTTAAAGTAAACTTAGATCTAAACTGTCTGAACAGTGATGCTTTTTCTATGTATTTAACAAGAAACATGGATTGCTATATTTCTCACATTGGTAATCCACATATCATCTCTGCCTAGTGAGCTCTTTCAGATATGTAACAATGATCAAGTATGTGGAGAGTATTCCCATAACACATAGGATTTATCTCTTGTGTGAGTTTTTTTCATGTATTTCACTTACAATCTGGCTGCTGAAAGTGTCTCCACTTGCTTACATAGCAAGTGGTTCTTCCCAGTGTGAATTCTTTCATGTGTTTTGCAATGACTATATGCAGTAAAAGCTTTTCCACATTGTTATACACATAGGCTTTCTCACCAGTGTGAAGTCATAGATGTATTTTACAAAATCCATGTGTGGTGAAAGCTTTCCCACATTCTTCACATACACACAGGGTTTCCCAACCATGCAAATTTTATAATGTATTGGACAATGAGCATTTCTGCAGAAACCTTTCCCACATTCCTAACATATGTAAGTTTTCTGCCCAGTGTGAAGATTTTCATGCATTATGCAATATATACCTCTGCTGAAACCATTCTCATGATGCCTATATACACTGGTTTTATATTGAATGTAAACTTTCATGTTTCTTACAATCTCCCTGTGTTTTAAAAGCTTTCCCACATTGCTTACACACATATGGTTTCTCTCCAGTGTGAATTCTTTCATGAACCTTACAATGTGTACTTGTGTTAAAAGCTTTCCCACATTGCTTACATACATATGGTTTCTCTCCGGTGTGAATTCTTTCATGTTCCTTACAATGTCCAGGTCTGGTAAAAGCTTTCCCACATTGCTTACATACATAGGGTTTCTCTCCAGTGTGAATTCTTTCATGAACCTTATAATGTGCACGTGTGTTAAAAGCTTTCCCACATTGCTTACATGCATATAGATTCTCTCCAGTGTGAATTCTTTCATGTTCCTTACAACGATCAGGTCTGGTAAAAGCTTTCCCACATTGCTTACATACATAAGGTTTCTCTCCAGTGTGAATTCTTTCATGAACCTTACAATTTGCACATGTGTTAAAAGCTTTCCCACATTGCTTACATATGTAGGGTTTCTCTCCAGTGTGAATTCTTTCATGTTGCTTACAGTATCCCCATGTGTTAAAAGCTTTCCCACATTGCTTACATACATATGGTTTCTCTCCAGTGTGAATTCTTTCATGTTTCTTACAACATCCAGGTCTGGTAAAAGCTTTCCCACATTCCTTACATAGATAGGGTTTCTCTCCAGTGTGAATTCTTTCATGATTCTTACAATCTCCCTGTGTTTTAAAAGCTTTCCCACATTGCTTACATACATATGGTTTCTCTCCAGTGTGAATTCTTTCATGAACCTTATAACTTGCACGTATGTTAAAAGCTTTCCCACATTGCTTACATACATATGGTTTATCTCCAGTGTGAATTCTTTCATGTTGCTTACAATATTCAGGTCTGGTAAAAGCTTTCCCACATTGCTTACATACATATGGTTTCTCTCCAGTGTGAATTCTTTCATGTGCCTTACAAAGTCCAGGTCTGGTAAAAGCTTTCCCACATTGCTTACATACATAGGGTTTCTCTCCACTGCAATATTTTTCATGGATCTGAACATTGTGGTCTGTTTCTGTTTCTTTCACATTCACATTACCTTCTGCATTACAAAGAAATACTTCTTTACACTGCTTCCAAGGTGTATGTCCATAAGATTTCCCTAGCTTGTCATTTCTGGAAAGAAAAAATCACATATAGGATTTATAACCATATTACTAAGCTTTTTTTGAGAGTTGAACAAAACTGTTTGCAGTCGCATTGTTTGAATCCCCACTTGATATGTTTCACTTTTGTATTTCATGACTATTTCAATTATCAGCATTCGTAATCATCATTTTGCTATTTGTTACTGTTTTTTTTTCACTTTGAATGCAGTATTATTTCTACTTATTTTGTCTTATTTAATCTTTCCTTATATTAAATTTAAAAAAAGAAAAATTCACTGTGAAATTGGTCTCCGTTTAATGACTGCATTAATATCAAGTTCTGTTTTTAATGCCTGCTAAGAAATTCTGACCAAGAAGCAACAGAATGGCCTTGTAAGATATGTTGAAAACAACCATTCCCAAAAGACTGGTACACATTTGGAAATCTTAAAAGTTGGTACTTTGAAATGCATAATCTTTACCTTCACTTTGGGAATGGGTACATATATGTATCACATGCACATTATTCTCATATGTTTCCCCATCACAATCTTCCTTCTGTCCTTAACTTGTAGTTCCCTTTTCCATCTGGTCAGTCTTACTTTTCTCTAACAACTCTGTTTCATTTCTTTCCACATTTTGTATTTTGGTTTCTCCTCTAAAAGAAAGCCAGTGACCTTTTAGGTTTTATAGCTGAGTTATTTTACTGAATTGATGGGTGAAAGACCCATCTAATTCTTATGGCAAATGACATTATATTATTTATTTTTTGACATTATATGACACATTTTTTCCATTCTGGGCTGGGAATGAGCAACAGATATTAGCATAAATCTATAGCTTTTTTAAAATCTATTTTAACAGATTTTCATAGATCATTAAGCTGTGAAGTTTGAACTTGAAATTGCCATTCTGCAAACAGATTTGCAAACCCTAGTGTGCTGGGTTTACAAGAATGTAAAATCACAGAGAGTCTATTAAAATTTTCCTTCTCCACAAATCCAGTGATAGATAGATAAGCCTCAAGACCTGATCTGTCATAACTTGATCTGCTTTGTATATGACTAAGCATGTATCAGTATTTTATGCAGATTTTGAGATTTTAAAAATATCCAGGACAAGTATGAGGGGATCAATTTCTAGAGACAACTGCATACTGATATTCAAAATGAGTGCACTAACATTCCACCAGCCTACTAAGAATATTAGTCAGAATCGCCGATTGTCTAGAGCATGGCTTGGAAACATGAGCACTCAGTTTTATTTCACATTCTATTGCAATCTTAGCAATTGTTAGATAATGAATGTGTTGTATTCACATGTATATATGGGTAGAAAAACTAAAGGCAGAATGTCATAACTCAAAGTGCATGCCTTTCGTACAGATCTATATGCAATGTCATACATTTTCATGATTTAATTCCCTCATATATACACTAGCTTATACATCTTTGGAGAATATAACTGACATTAAATTGAATGGTGCCTCATTTCTTTGGTGGTCATTTTTCTGCTGACTCACTAATTACTCAAGAACATTCCTCTCCTTGTGAGTGTGAATTACCTTAAGTATCTCCAGTAAATTTTGCATTCTTTTTCAGCTTCCTGGATATCCCCAAGTCCTCCTGAATTGTAGACATAGAAATACCAGGACTCAGTTGAGTAATACATACAAATTAATAGATTTTGTTTAGATTTATGATATAATGTGTCCAGGCCTGAGCTATTTTTAAAAATATTTTCATATTCTTTTTTACAAAACAGCACTAATGAGCAACAAACGATATTCTGACAGCATGAGTGACAAAAAAGATTTCATCCTTACCTATTGCAGCCATGTTCCTAAAGATTTCACCCATCACATCTCTGTAGAGGTTCTTTTGGGATGGACTCAGCAAACTCCACTCCTCATTGCTGAAGTTCACAACCACATCCTCAAAGATCACCACCTCCTAAAGGATCATACATATATTTCTCAAAGGAAGCTTGAGACCCCAGGTTTGTGATATCTTAAATTCTCTCCTACAAATCTGAATCAAAAGCAAAGTGTGGTGGTGCATATCTATAATCCCAGCACTCAAAAGGCGAGACAGGAAGGCATCAGTGAGGTCAGGCCAATTCTAGGCTCTATAGGGTGTTCAAATCCAGCTGATATACATACAGAAAGCTTGTGTTAATAAAACAAAACTAAACTCAACAAATAAAGCCAAACAAAACAGCTGAATGAAGACTGATTTGTTCAAATTTAAATCTATGTCTTGGTCGTTAATTTTGTGTCTATATACATTTTTGAAGACAGCAAATTTGATACTAGATTGCAACTCACTGCTAATATAACAGCCAAATAGGAGCACTGATTCTTGTGCTGAGTCATGGCAAGATTCCCTGTGCTCTTTCTCTAAAGCAGAGCTCACAGTGAGATGCTTGCAGGACCAGCAACCACAAAGCACAGAGGCAGATAAATGTCTCATCAATTGCCTTGGAAGCCAAGCAAGCACCTCCCCTCTCTAGTCAGTGGTGGCAGTCTGGAAAACTGCAGCCCTTCCAGGGGGATAACCAGCAGCAGCTCCTAAGATCCGTTCTATGTTGGAACTTAGGGCGCTGTAAAACCAAACAACCAGCCTGTCTCCCTAGTAAGCAACACTGAACCTACTGATGCACCACCTAGAATCAAACATCCCACTTCCCTACCCCTCTTCTCCTGTCACCCCACATTAGCAAATGGGAACCAGAAATCTGAGCATCTCCTGGGAAGTAGACCATAGCAAATAAGGGGGACTTCCTTCTACTATCTCCTTGAAGGAAAACATTTTTATTATTGTTTCACTCTATTCTCATTAATGGTACTGCTCAATTCAATATTCTGTTTTGATAAGTTCTATAATGTTCTGCATTTCATCTCATTTTGATATATGTGATTAAAGAACAACTACGATAAAGATAACAAAATATACTGTGATATCTATTACTGTTATCCCAGTAATCTGTTGTGAAGTTGTGTACCAATTTCACTGTGTGATCTTAGTTGACCTTATGCTGCCTTGTTCTGTTCTATTTTACCAATTTCAAAATTAAATAAAAAATCTCAGTAATCACTTTGATAGACTACAGATGATGTCTGTTCAAATCTCATTTAGGCCAATGAATACTTTGTTCTTAATATACTTAAGCAGCATTATGAAACATGAATTTGGTTTCATAGAACAAAACATAAATAACATCAAATATGGTATATAAATAATAACTCAAGTGTTAGGGAAAAACAGGTGTATTTTAAAAATATGTATATAAAATGAAACCAGGCCCAAGCTGTAAATTATACCTCACTGTCACCAAATGATCACTTTCAATTCAAATATAAGAAATATATTTTGGGATGCTGGTGAAGGATTTCTTCCTTGAATTTGGGGCTATCCTAAGTTACAGAGCTGTCTAAAATAGACAAACCCTGATTGAGACACCGAACAGACAAAATGAAACTTAAAAAAAGACTGCATAACACAACTTTGGTTAGTTTTAAAAAAAAATTATAGCCATACAATACAGAAAAATTCCAACAATATTCAACACTTTCTCAGAAACAATGTGGATATCGTCCATACTACACAGAAAACATTTTCATAGTTGCGTATTTAGCTCAGTGTCATGAACACCTGCCTGGAAAGCATAGGTCATGCGTTTGATCCTTGGTACAAAAAAATTGAAAATTTCAGCTTCATGACAATGGGGCATAATTAGAGATAATCAAATTAGATCTCAAGTATGGAACACAAAAATTATGGGTTGACAGGGATGTGGAATACTGATTGTTGCCAGAGCTGGTGTTGATCACCTCAATGAAGCAATCAGAACCCAACTTTACTTCACACTTACTCTAAGAACTACCTGATTTTCAGTGAAGACCCTCTCTGTTGTATGTCCTGCTATTTGCTGCCTGCATCCTGTCAGTCACTTCCACATCTTTTCCACACTCCTCTGATCCATCCTAAGCAGGAAACCCTTCATGCCTAACTATTGATATCACTGCAAAATTTCTATTTAGGGTTTATCATTTACACCACTTAGATAAGTCCATTGTAGAGAATTTCCATATTTAAACGGTCTATTAACCAAGCTACTAAATCCGCTTTTAATTCAGAGGTGACACCCCTATTCCTTTGCATTCGGAAGGATATCACATGTATATGACCATGCAACTGCGTAAATTTTGGCATTTTTTGATGAGAATTTAACAGGTAGCCCTTTCTGGAATTTGTCCTTCACAAATTTTTACCCTGTCCTTGATAACACTTTCAAATTTACTTCATTTTTCTCAGACTTCAAAACTCTATGGCTGTTCTCACAAACCTAGTCTATGAGCAAGGGTGCCACCTAAATAATTAAGTATGTTCAGAAATTATTTTGCACTGATCTGTATAATACACAGGAGTTCACCAGTTGTTTGGGAAGCCTTTCTCCGCTGAGGCACAGTACTACATATCTCTGAATTCTCAGACCTTTGTCACTACCTGTCATGAGGATGGAAATAGGAGAACATACTATAAATTTAGGAGATCACTATAAATACAAAAAAGCCCAAGTTTAAGTTGAGCCATTGTGGCTATGAGGCCCGGCATTACATACATTAATAAACTCTGGACATT